CAGCAGAGGTGTGAGCCCATTCTGCCTCCTTACTGATGAGATCTGGGATATTTAATTCATGGATTTCACCTCAGGATGGAGATCAGTTCCCATTTTCTGGCTGCCCCCAGGACACCACGCCCTGGTCCCACACATGGTCAGGAGAAATCCATGCTTTCCCTGATGTTTTTTACCTGCTGGATGCAGCCTTTTGTTTCTCTTAGTGGAATAAACATAAGCAGGTGGCTATTTCCAAGGGTGTTTTTGTTATATAAAAATATTCAATAAAACTGTCCCCAAGCCATTTCCCTGTGATCAGTGACCTGTTCTTGCTGCTTGATGGCTGAGCTGGAGCAGAGCTGTGCAAACACCAGCACCAACACACAGCATTTCACACTCTGAGTTGTATAAATTTAACATGGGCAACATGAAGGTTTTTGCTTTCTATTCCAGGAAAGGGTTTTTTATAATTCAACTACCAGGAAAGAGGAACAAAATTTGGTAGTTTAAAACTTCAAAGCAAGATTTTTAAGAAATTTGTTTGCAGTTCTGTTCCCTATTCCATTACGTTCGTACATCTCGCTCATTTGAAACAAAGAACCAACACAGCTTAAAAAAAAAAAAAGTGACAGCAGGTCTGGGTGCTCTCTCATCCATCTTTGTTAACTTTTGTTACCTCTCAGATTGGTAATTAATTATTGAAATATCATCTTTGTACAGTTGAGCTACAGAGAAAGGGAATAAATGGTCCATGGGTCTTAGAAATTTGGCAACGGAAAGCAGAAGTGTGTAATCACTACAGATGGGGACTGAGAGCTAAAAACAGCAACACAGCAAATTAGGAAATTGTATTATTGCACAAAATTAGAATTTTTTGAGGAGGATCAAGGATCCCTAAATAGCAAACCAGAGCCCAGGAAAGCAAAGCCTCTGTGCCCCAACACAGGAGTGAGAGGCAGGAAAACCCTTCCTGCACCAGCGTGGGGAGAGAGGGAGAAAAGGTTAAAAAATCATGGAATAACAGACTGGTTTGGGTTGGAAGGGACCTCAAAAATCATCCAGTTCCACAGATCCCAGAGCCCATATTGCAGCTTTACCCAGCCAGAGCCACACTTAGGAAAGATGCTGTTCCCACTTACCCTCAAGGAGGAGCAGCAGTGGTGGGACACAGAAAACCCCTGCAAGTCCCTGCTCTTCTGCTGGGGCTGCTTTTAGTCCCAGCTCCTCAGGGTCCTGCAGTTTTCCTTCTCCAGGGGAGGCTCCTCAGCTCCTCACTCACCTTTCTTTCAGGAACACCACCAAAGAAAGCCCCAGGAAAAGTGGCGAGATGCCACATTGTTCCCAAGGCATTGCAGTTTAAAAGGCTGTAAAAAGAGCAACAAAATTCTCCTCCAAAGAGAGCCCCAAACAAACATCCCGAGGAAAACAAAGCCTTGATGGACACAGATCATGCAGAATGCCCAACAAGTTGCAATAATTCAGCTCCACACACAAATCTCCCCCCACTCTGCTCCAGTACATCAAATATTCCTCCAGAATTTTGCCCTCCCAGGAGCACAGCCCACAAGTGAAGGGGAATAGCCACAACCTCTACATGGAGCAGGACAGAAAAGGGAAGGTCTTCAACCTCCTGGGATTCACAGCTGCACATTAAAGCCTTTTATTTCCCCCCAGGAGGGAGCCAGGATGGTGCATGTGGAAGTGGAAGGTTCATTAGCACCTGGGCACTCATTTACCAAACGACCACTGACACTCACAAGTGATTTATATTCCCAACAGATTTATGGGATTAACCCAAATAAATGAACTCAAAGGAAAATAAGGCAAAGATTAAATGGTGAGGATGCTCTGGTAAAGGAAAAGAAAATTACAATCAAATATCTGGATTTTTGAAGTCTGTATTTAAAACAGGAACAAAACAGAGAGAAAAAAATCAGTTTTGCCATGCCATGTAGTGGAGAGCAAGAAAGAACACTCTGCTAAAAAGTAGATTTCAGCTCACTAAAAGTAGTTTAATATTTTACATTTCAGGTGAAAAAATAAGCCATTCAGATTTAGCTTCATTTGTTTAACAAGCAAATGTTTTTTTCCTGGTTAAAAGAGAGATAAATGAAAAAAGAAATATTTTACTGTTTGAGATTTTTCTGACTGTCAGTCAGAATTTTTAGTCCCAAAGGGAAGGGGTTTGGCCTTGCAGGTTTTAAGTCCTTCTTTATTTTTACGGGAATAGAACATTAATTGATGGAAGTTGTTGTTCTGCACACCTGGGCATCCTTTTTATGGGAAATAATCCTCCCTCCAGAGAAAGACTTTGAGATTTCATTGCAAAATGGTTGTAAAGCTCTGGAAATCCTGACCTGGAAGGTACTAAAGGAAACCACCACTAGATATCACCATTTCACTATTTAATAAACCTCAGAAAAAATTTGTTAATGTGTAAAAATCCTAATTATCCTCCAGGTTGATGAACTCACCTTCTAGAGGGGCTCAATTCACACAATTGAGCAGGCTGGAGAACATCCTGACTACAGGATTAATTGGGGAAATTTAACTAAAGAGTCCAGCTTTCCACAGGGTCTGGGTCCCAGGACCTGGTGAATATTCCTCTGTGGGAACACAGAATGAGAGCTGGATATGAAGGTAAAAATTCCCTGCCAGCATTTCTCCTCCAACATCAGATTTTCTGGTCTGTGGATAAAAATCAACTCCAGGCAGAACCTGGCCATGGATGCCTGCCCTGTAAAATATGGCACTGCTTTCCTTTGTAATGGAATCCAGCTGCTGCCCTTCAGCAGGCTGGAAAAGCACCTTTCCAGGGATCTTCCCCAAGGAATTTGAGTTCACTCAGGCATTTTTCCTCCTAGTGAAAACGGGCACAGCTCCAGTGCAGCTGATGGAGTTTTACTCAAAGTCATAATGGGACTTAGCATCTTCCAAATATAAATAAATCCAAAGCAGGTCACGGATTACAACATGTCAATGGAAAAGAATTAGTTAAAATAGTATTTAAGTTAGTAATAAATGTATTTGTCTCATCTTTTTAGAAATTAACAGATTTTGCCCCTAAAATGTATTCTGCAGCAACATCTTTCTTTCTACATAGAGAAATTAATTTTGAGAAGTTACTTAAATTGTGGGTTAAACCCACAAGTTTAACAAATTCTGGGGAGGAAAGAACATGGACAATATTTTTCCATGGGCAAAGCTACACAAAATAAAATGTGCTTTACATTAACAATGTGCATTTACCTGCACCTCTGTGCTGTAAAAACACATGTCATTGGGGTGGTCTAAATTACCTATTTTCCTCAAAATACTGCTGTTATGTGGTTTTATTTTCATTCCAGCTAAAATTATCCACATATTTAATAAAATTAATTTAAAAACAAGCTCTGAAACCAGTCCTAAGAAGGGATGGGATGAATACAACTTCCCAGTAGTTTTTTTTCTCAGGTTTTGCCAAACTCCCATTATTTATGGGTTTTCTCCTGTGCCACTCCATTTCTGTCCCGGGGATGGAGCAGCACATCCATCAGGGATTCTGCCACTGCAGCAGCTGCTGCTGATCCCTTGGCTTTAATCCCTGGGCTGGGGTGAGCAGCAGAGCAGAGAGGGGCTCCTCCAACGCATTCCTCAGAAAACCACCGGGTCTGGAGCTCAGCTTTAACCTCCGACTTCCTCATTTCCTGAGGAAGAACCTCGTGCAATTAACTTCTTTCCAGACTTTGGCTTGAACTATAAATAGATCCCAGGGGGAAGTAAGGGCTGGGGCACGGCAGCACAAATGGCACGGAGCATTTCTTGCTAGGGATAATTGCAAAACCTTTGGCTGCTGCTGCCCTCTGGAATATTTCCCCTCTCAGCCTCAGTTAAATTGTTCTCTGCACCTCCACCAAGGAAATCTGGAGAGCTCTGCCCACCCTGCACTCCTCTGGAATTTAATGAAGTCATTTGGCCTCTTCCAAAGGACTCCTGGCCTGATTTTGAATGTGGAGAAGGAGATTAATGAGACACGCATGGAATTAGGGCAATGCATAGGGAAGCAAATCAACTTTTTCCTCTCGTGCTCCTAGAAAGCAAGGATAAGATTCAGTATTGCGCCAAGGTCAGCAGGAATTTACATCCAGTTATGTCTTGGATGTGTATGAGTCTGATTTTATTAATTTATTTCCTTATCAGGAATTATCTTTCCCTGTCATTTTAATAAAGAGAGAGAATTCCTTTCATTGCCCGCTCAGATCGCTTTTCCCTCAGGAGCAGCTTCTTCTCTGTCCTGCTGATATTTTCTTTGAGTTCACAGATGATTTTAATAAATGCCCAAGAAATAAAGATTAAAACAAAACAAAACAAAAAAATAAAAACAAACAAAAAAACCCAACAGAACCAACCACAAGCAAAAACACCAACAAAAAACTTTAATAGAAAAAAAACTCCTGCAGAGCAGGTAACAGTCCAGTTCATCTATCATTTTACAGTGGTGACATAATGAATAATTTCCAGCTGAAATATTTGCTGAGAAGCAAGAGCAAAGGGAGAAAATGTGTTTGAGTGCTAAACAGCAGTATTTCCATATGAAAATCTGCATTTAAATTTCCAAATGAAGATGCAGGAATCTTGCACTTTTTTTTTTTTTCAGGAATGCTGCAGTCATCTTTGCTTGCTGATTTTGCAGAAAATTAATGCTTTTATGTGTGGATGTGGCACTTGGGGACATGATTTAGTGGTGCTGGGTTGATGGTTGGACTTGATCTTAGTGGTCATTTCCAACTTCAACAGTTCTATGATTCTACATATATTATAAAAACATTATTAACCAGTATTTTGGAGATAAATTAATTTCAAATTCTCCATTAGAAAACAGAAAACAGTGACCTTTACTTGCCCTGCTCCCAAAGGGGTTTAAGACTTAAAATATTAATCAGAACAAGTGTAGTGTGCAAATGCTTCCATTTCCCAACCTAATCCTTGGAGTGCATCATTCATACCTGAATCCCATCCCTCTCCTGAGCTGAGCAGCTCAGTCAGGATGTGAATTCCATCCTGCAGCTCCATTTTGCAACCCCTGTGTTGGAGATTTGGAGGTTTGGGGTGCTGAACTCGGAGCTGTTCCTGTTGGGAGCGTTGCGGGAGCTGAACAAAGCCAACGAGTGCAAGAGGGCTCCTCTGGCTTTGGAGGTTTCTATGTTCTGCTCCTGGGAGATCTGAACACTTATCTGGTCCAGGCTGTTCCTTATCCAGCTGCAAGTCAGGAGGTTTGTTATGGAACCACACCTGGCCAGGCTTTCTTCAAAAAACTGTTTGTAGAGCTCAGCCACTTTGGCTTCCATGTACTTGTTGAGCGTGGAGTTGGACAGGGGCTCCTCACTGAGCAGGAGGCTCCTTTCTCCAGCTTCATCTCCAGGCAGGGACATCCCACTGGGCTTTTTGGGATGCTCACAGAGAGGGGACTGACCCAGGGGAATATCTATGGAGAGCAGGACGGGGCCGTCGGGGAGCTCATCACACACGTGGTCCAGGACACAGCCCGAGTCACACGTGTGGCCCCCCACACGGTCCCCCCCGATCTGCAGGTCAGGGTAGTTCTGGTAAATGCTGTTGCATGGCCAGGATCTGTACAAATCCACCTGGTCTAGGCTCCCTCCTCTCCTGGGGATATGTACAGCTGGGGATGCAGCTCCTTTAAGCAGCATTTCCTGATCCTTCCCAGGCTCCTTTTCCATGGATCCCCATCGGGGGCTGCTCCCGGCTTCCACTTTGCTGCTTCTGGCAGAGAGCTCCTCCCGCTTCTCACATCCCTCAGCAAAGCCTTTAATTTTTGGGATGTCTACAAGTTTCTGTCTCCAGATTCCCTCTTTAGCCTTTTGGGATGCAGGGGATTTGCGAGGCTTATCTTGATGACAGCTTTCTCTATAGATGAGCCTCATTAGGATGCCTTCTGCCAGCATGGTGACAAGTGTGAGCAGCAGGGATCACCAGAGTTCCATGGAGCCCTGGGACAGAAAGACAGGCACAATACAACAGCAACTATTATTTAACAACTATTATAGAATAATTATATTATTATTACTGTTGTTATTGTTGTTATTAATAATGAACAGTGCATTTCTCACAAAAATAGTGATTTTTCTTTCCCTCTCAAGCACTTATTTTTAGCAAACATCAAACTGCATGCTTTTTCTCTTTACCATGTCCACAAAAATCATTCTGAAGATACAGGAAGGGTTTCAATCAGCTGCTTCATCTGTAGCATCCCTTCTGCTGCCAGGTCTCTTCTGCATCGTGGCTACTTGAGACAGATTGTGCTTTATAAGCTGTAAAAATCAGCAAAATCATTTTACTTGTCTGTATCAATACCATCAGTAATTAATCAATGTTTTCCATTACCAGACAACCATTTCCAAGAGCTAAAGACGTGACATAGAAAGGAAATAAAGAATATATTCATATTTAGAGGCATTTCTGACTTGAGCACTCCCATGAGGTGCCAAGGAGCTTCAAAAGAAACGGAGAGTTCTGCAAATATAACAAAACTGTATTCAAAATGCAGATCAAATGTGTTTAGAGTCCCTCTTAATGATGAACTTAAAAGATATAAATAATTTGCCTTCCCCAACAGGAATAATAGCGAAAATATAAGTGTCTTAATTTACTACACTTAATGATTCCTTATCATCCCTTTCCAATTTACCTACTCTTAAAATCAATGGGAATCTTCACATTAAGACTGAATCACTGCTCTTATGCAAGAATGGGAAACATAAACATAAGAAAATCATTCAGTTCTTCAAATATCCTGTAAATCTCTGCATAATTGAAGTATCCACAGACACAAAGTGTCCTTGTGGCTCAACACTTTTCACCGTGCCCCTACACCCTCGTATATTTGAAATTCCTCACTACACTGGTTCACTTTTCAATCCCAGTGCTCCTTCCAGGAGATATTCTAAAACTTCAGTTATTTGTGACATGGAAATTTTCACCTTTCCCCCAGAATTTACACACTGGCACAGCACAACTGTTTGGGTTTTTTTTTTTAATTTTTGTGGGGTTCTTTATTTTTGTGACACAGAAGCTGAAAAGAACACTGGAATTTCAGTCCAAAGCAGGCAGGAAAGGCAGCAGACCTGGTTATCCACAGAGTCATTTACATATGCAAAAAGCAGGGCAGCACTTTCTAAAGCACTTAAGGGACTTGATAAACCAATTTCCAAAGAAAGAAGAATTGGCAGTCTAAGTCTTGCTAAAGATCCATGGAATTTGGAATGCTCTGCCCCTTGTAGGACATGGGTAACCAGGTCCTTACCCTGTCTGTAGGACCTCAGGGTACCCAGCTCTTTACCTCCTGATAAATTTTGGTTATTGCTTTGAAAGTGCTCATGAAGAGCTAAAACACGTTAATCTTGGAAAAACTGGTCTCCTCCAAATAAAATAAGTGGTACCTGTGTTCTGGAACAAAGCACAAGGACAAGAAAAAGGCACAAAAAGCCCAACTCACCAAGCCCAGTCAGGTCCAAGGCGGATTTCCCCAAGCCCAGAGCTGTCCTGCAGAGCTGCTGGGAGGGGGCCGATGGTTCCACAGCCTTCCCTCGCTGCTGTCTGTGCAGAAAAAGCCTGACGCACTCATGATGCAATTCCCCAGCACTTCTAACTCGTAAAACAGAAGTGATCCTGCTGGGAGAGGGAGCGGTTTTTGAACACAAAGAGAGGGCTACGTCTAAAAGAGGATGTTTGAACATGAATTGAGATGTTTCTGACCACGGTGTGATGCTGAGGAGCTGCTGACAGCCAGAGGGTCAGGGCTGAGCTGGGCAGAGCGAAATCAGAACCGAATTCCAGCAGCACTTCCACTGGCAGGAGCTCAGCTGACTCGTGGACTCACACCACTTCCCCTTTGGAAACACGCAGCTAAATTTAGAGTCTGGTGATGTGCCACTGATGGGGAGGAAGTTGGCAACTTCCTTCCACCCGGATTTTGATGAAATACCCTGTGTCTGTGACGTGCAAACAGGACGATGTGCCAACCTGAAGGCAGCAGCCAAGGGACGGCTCTGCACAATCGTGTTGCTCGTTGACCAAATCTGGTCTTTAGGGGTTAAAAAATTACCTCTGGCACGTCCCAGGCGCTCCCATGGTGGTTTTAGGTGTCCTCTCCAAGCTGAAGCCAAGCTTGTGCACTGAGCCCTCCCCTCAGCACAGGATCCAGCCCACAGACAGTCTGAAGAGTTTTCTGTTGGTGACTTCTCTAAATTTCCTTTTTCTCAGAATTTAAAAACCCCAATGAAGCAGAAGCTGAATCTCATCTAAGTACAAGATGAAAGAGTCTAAAAAGACACTGTTTAATGACAGGAGCAAGACACAAATTATCATCCAAGCCATGGGCAGGGACACCTTCCACCATCCCAGGCTGCTCCAAACCCTGTCCAGCCTGGCCTTGGACACTTCCAGGGATCCAGGGGCAGCCACAGCTTCTCTGGGCACCCTGTACCAGGGCCTGCCCACCCTCACAGGGAAGAATTTATTTCTAATATCCAATCTAACCCTGCCCCCTGTCAGTGGGAAATCATGCTGTGCCTTAGAAATTAGTTTTGGAGTAATTCTGGCCATACACGTTCAATGAAGTCTGTAAAATTATCTCTCTTCCCTCCTTTTCTCCTGTATTTCATGAAAAACTTCAGGTTTTTATGGAGGCAAAATGAAACCTATTTTTACTACCACCAAATTTATATAAAACTCACTTAATATTTAAAAGCTGTTCAAAATTACCCGATTTTTAATCACATTACATGAGCAATTTCTGCACAGAAGGTGTGGCTGGGACTCCAGCAGAGTCACTGCCCACAGCCTGTGGGGGCAGGAACCAGCGTGGATCAAATTCCAAGTAGTTTTAAAGCTCTCCAAGCTCGCAATTAGTGCCAGCTGCAGCTGGAATTTTTGTGCAGCTGTTTCAACAAGACACAAAAGTAACAGAGAGAGGAAGAAATCAAGTCAGGTAATTTGTGTGGAGTGATTAAAAGCAAATCAACTTCCATTTCATACCCAGCAACCTGACCTATGGAACGCGTCCTTGCCCGTGGTGGGGGTGGAATGAGATGAGCTTTACCATCCCTTCCAACCCAAACCAGTCTGGGATTCAGGTGGTAAATCCATCAATATCCATCAATGTATGCTCTCAGTCAGAGCTCACCAAAAAGACATTCCCTTTTATTTACAAAAATAAAGTCAGACCGAGATAGAACCAAAGTTAGTTCAGAACACAGATTGAGCACAGATTGCAGTTAGAATAAACAGCAAGGATGTCAAAATTTACAGCTGAATATGTATTGAAAAGAATAAAAAATTACTCTTCTAGTATCATTCGTGTATGGACAAAATAAATGCTACCACACTGAATGACATTATATGAACTATGGCTGCATGTAACAAAGTCCCTTCTTACAGCACAGGCTGTGTACTTTGCGTGCACATAAACATGACACAGATATTGACGGTTTGAAAGGATTTATGTTGGGGTTTTTCTCCTAAGCACAGCTGCTGGGGGCCCTTTATTTCCCATTCCACAGGAATTCCACTCCAACATCACCCCCACCTCGGAGGAACCCCTCACACACAAGGACACCGCACCCTCCGACGGCGCGGCTTAAGTAGGAGAGGGGCGGGGTTTAGTGATGACTGACAGATGTACCAGCCAATAGAAAGGCGGGACGGACCCGCCTCGGCCGCTGAGTGGCCGCTGGTTGCCGCAGCAACGGCTCGCGGCGGCGGCGCTGCGGGCCCGGGCGCCATTGCGGTCCCTCACAGCGGGGCGGGCGGGATTTGGGCTAGAAAACGTGTATTTTATCCACTTCGCTTCGTGTAAACCAAAATAACCTTCTCTGCGCGCTGAGAAAGGGTTCCGGAAAGAACTGAGGGCACATGAGAATTATAGTGCTGCTGACATTGGATTAATGAGGTGCTGGTTTCCTTTGAGTAAGGATTTTGAAATCGTGAGAAAATTAAGAAATGGCCAAGTTCCTGCTGATATCTTCAATAAGCCAACCTTTAAGAGAAGGAATTACTACAAGGATTTACAGCATATAAGAATTATATATTACTATATTGTGTATGTGTATAAATATTTATAAATATATATATAATATACATAATGAATTACTGTATATTCATGTTCCAAGATATGCAGGGCCAAGTCTGATACTTCATGAATAGAACACATATATTTTGTACTAAATATATGTGTTTTCCACTAAATATATGTATTTTGCATACTCGGTACTCACTATTGTGCTTACCTGTACTAATCCAGCAATTTCTACTTCATCACCTAAACTTTTAAAATTCTTTCACTTCTGCCAGTTTACCGATGCAGCCCAAAATTTTTAATAATAAACTTCAAAACTGTCCTAATGAACTTTTCAATCTAAAACATTGTACCAAGATCCCAGAATATGGGTAAGTCACAGAGTATTTCTGCAGGAAGCTCATTAAATGGTAACAATTTGGGAATGATTTATTTGTGCCGTGGGGTTGGGATCTGAGCAATCTGCTGCAGGGAAAGTTGTCACACGTTGCACGCACACGTGTAGCTTGGCTTTTAAAGATTTTGGGAAACTATTTTCATTGAACTTTACATTAATGAATAACAACTGGGTTTTTAGGATTTTTAATGAGAAGGAAAGCGGCAATTTCTCTGAGTGGCACGAGCGGAGTGGATACACAAGGGAGTAAATGGGATTCATTACAACTGGAAATGGCATTCCTGGCCCTTTTCCCATCCTGGGGACCAGTTGTGAGAAGGACAGGTGTGGGGGACAGGCAGGAATCCCCGTGCCTGATGGTGCTTGGCTGTGCTTTAGCTGCTCACACACAGGCTGATCCACACACATTACCAACCACTCTGAAAAAGATCAGGTTGTTGGTTTCCTCCCGAGGATGTGAGCTGAAGTCTGGAGTTTGGGCAGGTCAGAGGCAGAGAATGTGATTTTTGT